CAACAGGAAAACCTTTGTCTTTTTTTATCCCAGCAGTGCTGCTCCAGAAGTGTCAAGGCATGTTTTAGAGGGCGATCATTGCTCTAAATATAAGGTTTCACCCCAAGCTCTGGAAACTGACTAAACCTGAAATTAAATGAAAGAAAAGGCCAAAACAAAATAAACATCCCATTATCTTGGCTACACACTGATTAAAACGTTTAATCTACATTAATGTAACTGGACAGGTCAGAGTGTAACAATGATTTATGGATGAGTTATGGATGTCCTCCAAGCCTTAACAAAACAGTGTTCCTACTGTCAAATGAGTTTTAAGTCTTTTCACAATAATTACACACCAACGACCCTCCTTTCTGTCGTCGTCATCAGCCAGCAACAGATCTAACTGCATGCTGAGTAACAACAATCATCTCATCAGAGTTACAGTCATTAACTCCTGCTATCACAGATGATTAAACTTTATCACTCTATTACCAATTTGCCGAAGCAATCAGTAAGTGTTAATGAACATCTGGAGAAAGGATAAATAAAGGCGGACCACTGTTGCTTACACTCAGTCTGACATTTGCCTCCCAGTGGGCTTGGTATTTGATTACGGGTAAAACATTAACAAGTTGTGTTTAAAGTCTACAGGAAGTTCCTTCAAACACTTTGTCGGCCAGAGGGTCACATACGAGTGAATCAACATCTGAGCTCACATTAGATTTATAGGTGTGCAGGAATATTGTTGACTTGTATTCAGTTTAATGAAATAAGTCTAGTAATGTTAAGTCTAGTATGTAAACTGGGATTTCAGCCCATGGACATTCAACAGGGCTGCAGAGTAAAAGCCCTTTGCAGATAAGATTATCACTTGACCACTTTGAGTGCAGGTTTATTCTTAGCCTGTCACTCTAACACTCAGAAAAAGTCAATGAACTTTAACAAGGGAAGAGACAGTTTGACTTTTTATGCCATAACTATCAGCATAGAAAGCTATCAAAAAAAGTGTATACTTGCTCAAACACACCCTGGTTCAGCTGAGATGGACACAAATGGATACACCTGCCTGAGCCTAATCCAAATATTAGTTGTTATGACGGGCTAGAGCTGTTATTCTACCAAGGTACAACCTTCTTGAAGTATTATTTTGGGCAGAAAGCTTAAATAAAAATATATATAATTATAAGAAGTTAATGGGAAGGCGTTGATAGGAAGACATTTAACCTTATAATGGAAACAAACCACCAACCAGAGTAACTTATTAGTCTAATGATGGCATTATGGTGACGGCATACAACAGCATCATTTTGTTTATTAAGAGGGAGAAAGCAACAAACTGTTCATCAATGTAATTGTTAAAAAAGACGGCTCTTATTCAACGCCACACTCCTAGAAATAGAGACGTCTCTGTCCAGGTACAGATTATTGCTGTCACAATCATGCAGAGATCCGAGCTGATAACAAGATACAGTTTCTGTATCTGTACTAGCTTTCAAAGCTAACACAAATTCAAAGGCATTCAAACGAACAGTGCTTCTGTTTATTATCCAAATATACAAAAAAATATGCACAAAATGAATGTCCTATAATAACTAGACACGAATACTGCTGCATATGTCTCCCTTGAAATGTCTGAGGGACTCTGTATCTCTAAATTGCTGCCTTTCCCTATCTGTCTCTGGGGCTTTCAAAAAAGCTTGACAAAAATGTAAATCAGTAACAGCTGTTACTAAGAAACACTTCCAAACCCACACGTGCTTTAGATACACATGCAAGCAAGAAAGAGAACCCAGAGCTTAATTTAACGACATGACCAAATCCACTTAAAGATTTAAAATAAAGAAATTACCTGGCATGATGTACAAATCCCACTATAATAGCCTACCGGTACATATTATGATGCAAATTACATTTTGTTCGCAGAGCTTGACTTAAACATCTCTTGGGATGAGGACAATGCTTCCTTTTTTTCAGATATGCAACGATATGAAAACATTTCTACAGAACATTTAACGCAGGAAACAATGCTTGGAGTGATTAAAAGTGTTTGTTATCAACTAGTTTGTTGGGTGAATCGTACTCTGATTCTAAGCACTTCTTGCAGCATGTTACAGAGCATCACACTTGTGCAGGTCGTAACTCACCACTACATTTGGTTGGCAAAGATACTTTTATGAACATATTTCTTTGAAAAAGCAACATTTTAATTACCTTTGTATTGTCAAATGGGTGCAAATAATCAATGAAGAAAAGATCCATATTCATCATGACAGCTGCCATATCTGGAATTATTCCTTCTAAATCTGTATCTCTCACTGGTGTGGCATCTAAGATCATATTCTTGATAGTTGTTATTATAGTAAGAAGATAGATAATCTTCTTGGTTTTTATAATTCAATTAAAATGCCATCCAAAGACCTACCAGAGTCTTGGCTGTTAGCTTACACACCAGCCCAAAGAACCAATCAAATATGAAAAGAAGTACAGGAGTTCACATCTTAGGAGACCCTGAAGAGAGTAAAAGGACATTACATTGGTTTCAATATGTGTGGTCAGGCTTGGTTTGTGATATGAAGTGTCTTGGATTTCCAAATCAAAACAATCCCCCACTACAAAATTCAAGATTTATTCAAAAGCGATCTTGATTAAAGCAGCCGGTACAATGGTAAAATGGACTTGAGTGTATTGTGCTTTTCAAGTCTTCTGACTACTCGAAGTGCTTTTAATACAGCAGGCCACACTTACCCATTCACACACTGATGGCAAAGGCTGCTATTTAAAGTGTCCATCAGTATTAACTAATCTCATTCATACACATTCACACGCCACTAACGTAGCAGCAGGTACAATTTGGGGTACAGTGTCTTGCCCAATGACACTTCAATATGTGGCTGCAGGACCTGAGGATCAAACCGCCGACCTTGGTTGAGAGACGAACAACTCTGTCACTGAGTCACAGCCGCATAGCTGCCGCATACCTGAACCCCAAAACAACATACATATGTCTTTCGTATTGGTACCCGTCAGTATTCCTAGGTTTATCAGTTAGGGTTGGTGGCCATTTCCATAGCCTTTTGTTTTTTTATAAGTATTTTGTTCCTTCCTTTTGGAGTGGCAGGGGGTTGTGTTGGGGTGGCCCCCCACACATGATTGGTAGGGGAAACTCTCATGCCTCACCAATGAGAAACCCCATTCAAAAGTACAAAATCATCAACTTCATCATCAACAACTCAGTGTGTGCTGTCTGTCAGGTCACTGGCACGAATAACTTTTCCTCCTCAGCCATAACAATGTGACTCTGATGCCAGCATCTGTTACCGGCCAACTGGCAGGGGACCATGGGAACCAGGCTCTGTAGAGACTGGGAGGCAGACCATTGTGGCTCTTTTAATAAGAGACAAGCACTCTAAGGTGCAAACATCTCATAACCCTGCAGTTGGTAGACAATTGGGGTAGCTCTAACCTTAGCATAGAGGCATGCAAATACACAGTAATAGAGTAAAATTGACTGAAAATATGTTTGAAAGTTATTGCTGAGTGTCTCCAGGTGAACTTGCACACAGAATGAGTGTCAGCAGCAGAGCCTGCTCCACCTGTTGAGTTCAAAATGGTAAATCAACACTGCATGAAGAACAGTGGAATTGTCCTTGGAGCTACAGTAAAACATGCACCTTGACACAGGAAACAGCAAATATTGTGGCAGAGTCTGTCAAAGTAAATTGCCAAGGGGGGTTATGAGCTTATGTAGACTTCAAAATGCTTTTCAAAGAGCACACCGAATCGATGACTTCATGTTCGCACAATGGTCAAAGCTGAATCCTGACATTTACAAGCAATTTCTCAGAAGGGGAATACAGATCTTTGAATCCAACACCTGGCAGAGTTGCAAGGGGATTCCTCCATTGGAAACATGCTGAATATAGCAATATAAGACCAGTGGTCAAACATCAATTACTCAATCTAAGTGGGCGGCTGAGATTACAAACCTACTTTAAGCCCTAAACCTACAACTATATCTGGATTGGGTTCTGGTTTGAAAACCACTGAATCCAATCACTAAACGACAGGCTAGTATTAGAATCAAGCAAGACCACACAGTAATAGGAAAAGTAATTAACTTCTTAGGAAAACATCTGCATGTCACATTTAAGTAAAGTAGAAATTATTCAGGTACCTAACTTCATAATACATTTTAGCATTTTAACACATGCACTAACAAGCTACTAAAGCTACTCTGAAACTCTTCTGATGCTCCAACAATGCTTTCATTATTCATTTACCTTCAAATTGGTTGTAAATGACTTATGTTCTAGCATTTAGGCTTTAAGATATGTAAAAAGGGGGAGGTTCTTCAGAGAATATTCTAGAGATCTTTAAATAGTAAGTTTTGTTTGAAAAAAAACTCTGAAAAATATATATTTTATTAAGATATTTTATAAATATGATATCTAGCCTAGTTCAGTCTTGGCACTGACTCACATGGGCTGATCCTTGCATCCATTTAATATCGTTTTTCTCTTATTTTCTTTCCTTAATTTTTGACATTTTATATAGATACAAAACTGTAATGAAACGTGTCCGAAAAATACTCAAGTTTTAATGCTAAATTTCCAATAACCTAACTTTAAAGTAAGTCTATAGCAACGACATATTTACCGTCTCCTTTTTGTCCCGTAAGCTTGAACCTACCTGTAAAAGTTTCACTCAACTTTACGCAACTGAGTTTGTTGCCAAGACAACGGACTACTTTGAGAAACGGTTAACAGTTAACGTAATGCAGACAGAAAATAACTCGAAACACGAGGTTAAATAAACTTAAACAACTTCAGGATAAGACACACAGCTGTCACTCCCGTTGCTTTTGAAGGCTACTCAATGGGCATGTCCCGACATTCCTCCCCACAAACTCCCACTAAACTCTAGAGCAATTTCACCTACTTTTCTGAACCGGTGAACCGATGCTTCCATGTTACTTAAGTCGACACAAACAGCTTGTACGTATTTTTTTTTAGTCTTACCTGATAAATGTCATGGATATTAAAGAAGTTTCCCAGTCTTCCAGCAGCGTATCTCCACACAAACTCAATCCCCCACTTGATTCACCAAGGTAGGCTACGGGTCCGGGACGCCGGGCTCCTCCTCCTCCTCCTCCACGCATGATGAGGTCATCAGAAGGGAAGCTCCTCGACTGAGGAACCAAGCTACCCCTCCTTCCTCCTCCCTCCTTCCTCCTCTTCCTCATATGTTTGTGCTTTGGTTTGTGCATGCCTCATGGTCGTGGCAGGATGCTTGAGTTAAGATGTAGGCCTATATACAACAGCACTTTAAATAAGAAGGTGTCTAAACTTATTAAATCATTCATGTTTTCTTTCTTCAACTAGGCCTACCTGTCTACTGATGATTGCCGCAGGTTAACACAAATGTAGCAGCGCTTTCAGGAATTTCCCGCCAACAAACTTAAATTAGCTAATTGCCTCAAAGCGTGTCTTCATTGTCCTTGTGATTAGTAGACCAGAGGCAGATCTGATTGCTATTTTTCTCAGAAATTTGATGGGAAATTAGAAACTTATAAATAGCCTAATGTAGTGTTTTGTGAAGCCGATAAAAGAAAAAGAAGGTTTAGTTTCATGCTAAGACCCCTTTCTAAGGTTGTCACACTTGCATTATAGTTTTTTTTTGTTTTTTTTTTACAAATTGCAATCTAAATTAATTTTAAATTCACTCACCACACTGCCAAGGATTTGTTGGTCAAATTTCAATGTGCTGGGTCCAAAAATACTGGAATCTGTTCCAAAACACAGAGGCTATCAAGCTATTTATCACCTGGTTAATATTAAGATACACCTTCTGTTTATTTTTGTATTAGGCCTAGGGTCTAATTCTCAATGTATTTCATTACATTTTACTGTTAATTATATCTCATACAACTGCATTAGACAATATTAATTCATTTATTGAACTATGGTTGGGTAAATGATTGGAAACTCAAATTCAAAGAAAAGTACATGTGTGTATTACATTTCAAGATACTTTAGGCCTGTTTCCATTGTTTCAACATCAAATTGAAGTATTTAGATTTGATTATAAAAAGGAATATAAACTAATCAACAAACATTTAAACGTTTGGTCTAGAATGGATTATGAAATAAGCAAGCAGTATGTGCAAACATTTTATGAACAAAGCTTTGAAATGGTCAGGCTTTTCAAACATCTTTTGGTTTTCAAAGAAATTAAGAAGGTTTTAATAGTTAATAAACACTGTTTTTACTCTTCTCTGGCGTTTTAAGACTATTCATCAGTAATGGAATGAAATGATTAGCTACATGCCTAATTCAGATGATAATGACTTTCTTTAACTTTTATTCCATGTACTTTCCTCGTGTCCTGAATTATTTACCCCCTCTGCAGCACAATATTTAACACACAAGACATGTAGGAGCTTATAAAACATGATGTACTGCTACATTAAGCTATCCAAGGGTAGATAAAAAAAACATGGCACCACCTGGACTGTCTACAGCATTAAAACACGGCTTAACATGGAAGATTTATCACTCTGAACGAGTCCTTCTTTATAAGCACTTATAAGCTGCCCATGATCCTTTACTTTCACACAGCTTTCAAATGCCTGATGAATAATATAATTTTGTTTCTGTTGATATTTTGAGTTTTAAGAACCTTAGCATTTATGTGGTGGCTAAAGCTGGATGTGAAGTAGTGCATTTTGTTTAATTCTAAATCTGAGTCCAACGTAGATATCTAGACCTCAGATTGAATAATTTGCATAGAGCTCCTTTAAATCTAATTATTACCTTATTTCTGAAAAAAAATGCATGTTGTACAAAACTGTAACTAACAAACTTATAATTGTGCATATTAATGCTGAGGCTGCTTGATAATTGTTTTTACATCTTAAGGCTTTAGACTCTCTGACTGATCTTACATGGTGAAAGTCATTCTACACTTTAGTCTATAGTGACATCATGAGGTAACAAAATGTATTGCAGCTTGTGGAAAATCTCACTAAGATCATTTTAAACCACAGGGTAATAACAGGAACATGTTGATTTTTATATTTGTATTGCTTTTTGTTTGGCTTCAATATACGTTTGTAAAACTTCAAGTTTACCATTATGAAAAAAGAAGAAGAACATTTTAGGTCTGTAAACCTCATCTCCTCCATCATCCCATTTCTTTGTGAGGCAGTGTTTTTCAGTCAGTGCAGAGTGTTTTCTCAGCAGTTAAGTGGGCGTCTCGGGGTCAGTGAGGCTCCTCAGATGGTCGAGAACGGGCAGACACTGGCAATAAAATGCACCCCGTCTGCAAGTCAGAAGACCACCAACTGCTCTACTCCTCATACAGAGCAGCAGAGGTCTCTGAACATCAGAAAGGGTGATCGTATCAAAGGCATGTGTGAACAGCATGAGCATCACTGAGAATTCAGGGTCAGCCCACTGTGTTTACAAAGTTATCATCAAGCCTTTTGTTTGTGAAAGAAAGTTCAGTTATTGTTGGTCGACTTCATAGTGCAAACATAAAGGCCGTTTATGAACACACACCAACAGGGAGAAATACTAGAACTATCAGGATCAACGTGTTGACAGCTGAGGGATAGATTTCTGTTGTGTATTCGTCTTTAGTCACACGTTGTTTGTTAAAGTTGTTTTGAAAGAAAATGCTAATATTTGTTTGTCAAACGTTTGTCACACACTGTTAAAGTTTGTCATAACAGTAAAATACTGGCACCAGTGGAGCTCTTGTATTTTACAGTTCATTTTAAAATTCTGTGTAATCAACAGTAGTGTGTCACTGTAAAGATACAATGTTATGAATTACAGTAGTTGCTGTATTTTGTTGAGTTACAGTAGAATAGTGGAAGCAGGGTTTCCAGTATATTACTATTTTTCTACAATATGTTGTTCACTGTTCACTTAATGACATTACTTTTGCTTAAACAGTATTAGTTTAAACATCCTATCATCTTGTACAATCCCAATTTGTTATGCTTTTTGGGACACTTGAACAGAACAGAGCCACCATTATTGCTTTAAGTAACACCAAGGCCTTTTCTGCATTGACAACTCAAACTGCTTGTTGTGAAAAATCACTTTTAAAATCAACATTTTAACCAGAGGGTTTTGCTGCAGGTAGCTTTTATATCCTAATCTTACGGTTTTCTTTTCATTTTTATATATGCCTAATTTCACAAGGTTTTTTAAATCATCAGGTTCATTGTTCAGCGCATACATGAAATGAACAAACACAGTTAGCAGGCTGAGGAATCTAACGTGGGAACCAGCTAACTGTTCATAACTCACTTGGCCAAGCATCGCCATTTTTTCCAACTCATTTACAATTCACCCCGGGCGTGTTTTCATGAACACGAGCCTAAAATCATACAGTCTCCCAGAAAATTCCCCAAATCCAAGGTCTGCCTGAACAACAATCATGTTAAACATAAGGTAGTCTTCATAAAGAGTTTGTAAAATGTGACACAAGTATGATAAGGCAGCCAAATGTGTTTCATTGCATGATAGTTTCTGCTGTACCTAAACAATCCTCCGGCTGGCTCTAATTAATGTGGTAATGTTGTTTTTCATTTTAAAGGCTTAAGGTAAAATATTAGTTTTTTTCTGTTACACTGCTGTGGGCTGGGAGAATGGCATTTTGACCTTTCATGGATATGCAGATAAGAAAAAGAAGGTAAATTACATGGAATCTTGAATGGTGCATGTAGGAGCCCTGCATTCATATATAGGTATAATATGGTCATGATCAAACTTTGCATGTAATGTTGTGATCTTAAATCTATTTTTTTTGTAACTTGATGTTTATAAAAAAAAAAAAAAAAAAAAACACAATTTAGGTTTTCAGAAAAAACACCCGACTGCTATCACGCGTGTTTGAGTATTTTACCCTCAAGCTAAGTCAAGCAGTTTCTGTGTTTTATTGAGTGACAAGAAATAAAAGCCCTTGTAGGAACAGTCAGAGGAACAGGGGGCATTTAAAGACTCTTTACTCTTAAAGTGGTATGTAAAAAAAATCTTTAAGCAACATCTATGACTTGGCAATGCAGGGCGTTCTGTATAAAAGCTTCTAACATGTTAATGTAGTGATTTTTAAGGGCCTTAAAACTTGGATTTTCAAGAACATCAACAGCCTTTTGACCCCCCTTTCCCCTCCATATCACCTCACACCCATCATCCCCCACCTCTCCTCCTGGTCACACACACACTCATCTCTCATCCATCTGTATTATTATTGTATTATAGTATGTTCATATTCTTTAAATTATCTGTAAACTTGTATAACATGCTCACTGCATCTTAATCTGTATATTATTAGTATAGCATGCTCACTGCATCTGATTCTGTATATTATTAGTATAGCATGCTCACTGCATCTTCTGTATATTATTAGTATAGCATGCTCACTGCATCTTAATCTGTATATTATAATCCTAAAAACACACTTATTTCGTAGCATTACTTATTTATATTTATTGCATCCCATTAATCCAGCCATCCAGATTTACTTAATAATTCACTTTTTTTGGCTACATCTGTAAATTTTGCAATTACTGTACATAGCACAGAATTACTGTACATAGCACTTTCTGCTTATTTGCACTTCTGGTGAGATGCCAAACCTCATTTCATTACTCTATACTTGTATATGTGTAATGACAATAAAGTTGAATCTCATCTCATCTCAGCCTTCAAGTTGCTTAACAGTTAAATATTGCCACCTAGTGCCCATCGTTGCCTACTACAGAAGAATCAGAAATAAGGAGATCCAGGTCTGATGACACCATGCAATATTTATTTATTAAATCTACTTAGTGCCAAGCATTACATATGAAAGATTTCACTGGGGAAAAAAACTGTCTGAAAACATCACCTCATGGTTAACATACCCAGAAGCCATCTGTTATTCGTCAGCTGGTGAACAATACAGCATGTCCCTTACAACACTAGAAAAGGCACATTTAATGCTGGTTTATAGATTTCTCACAAAGAAGAACAGCATGAAAAAAAGAGTTAATTCTTTCTAGAAAGTAAATGTGGAGCTCAACAAAAGCTTTCTCTCCCTCAACAGACACTTCACAAACAACCTGTCAGCCCCC